CCACCCTCCCTCCCAGCACTAATGACCATTACTTTCTCTCGTGGATCACAAGTTTACCCATCTTATTGTATCTTGTCCTTATGTTGATCCTTATGTTGATCCTTATCTTGTTCTGATGACGTTGTTGGGGGTTCTGGGTTCTCTGGTGTGGTTTGCTTCTTTTTTCCTTATCTTCCCTCTTTCTTTTTTATATTCGTTACTCTCTTGTAACACCTCTTTTCTTCGGCACTTATATGACCTCATTGTGTTGCAAGTGCCGTAAAACTCTTACTAAAACTGGTCGCATCTAAGCACATGGGAGCTTTCGTGAAAAATTCAAAGGTGAAGTTTTTACCCCTTGTTCGTTTTCTTTAAAAGACATGGGGAGTTTTCTCTATAACCAAACAAATATACACACCAATGAAATCAAACTTCTTATTCAGGTAGGGCAATGTCCACTTTTGGTGTAGGTCAAGATTTCTGGAAACCCCCGAAATCTCGGTTAGCTTGCTTGTCCTTAAAAGCGACCAACTAAACTCTGATTACCTTGTGGGTGGTTGGTGGGTGCTCCGGTGTGGTTTGCTCCTTCTTTCCTATCAAACATCTATCGTCTTTATCTCTCCTCCTCCTTTTTTGTGTTAGTTACTCTCTTGTAACACCTTTAATCTTCGGCACATTTTTGACCTTATTGTGTTGCGAGTGCCGTAAAACTCTTACTAAAACTAAACTATCTTATCTTATCTTATGGTATCACGTCTTATGTTGTCTTGTGTCTTATCTTATCTTATTTTATCACGTCTTATGTTGTCTTGTGTTCTATTTAGTCTTACCTTACTGTGCTGACACGTGAGTGACTCGTGTCATTTGTGTCTCCCACAGTCACAGTCCGTTCAGACAGCACAAGACCAAAGACAAGCACGAGATTGACCGCATGACGATGACCATGGTAAGTGCTCAGTCCTTTCTGCTCCAGCAAATTCAGCAGGGTACTTTTAAACACAGACAATCTGAAAACAGTTCTAAATTGAAAGAAAATAAAATCCCAATTACCCCC